AGATCCAAGTAATGGCAGCTCAAACAGTCGCATCATGTAATAAAATCTTCAGAGGATCAATTAAGGGTATTTGCAATTTTGAATGTTATTCTAACAATACATAAAAATAAATACAAACCTCCATCCTACTCATAGGTCTTTTGGACGGCCTTGCTTAATGGCATCTACTGTACTGCTTGTTGATGGTTCTGTATCAAACGAAGCAACAATTACGAGATTCAGATATAGGTTACCAAATGCAGATCTGAATTCTAACCAACGAAGCAGAAATAGTTGAAAAACATTAGACACTTGAGTCTTGCCTTTGTAGTTAGATGGTGATTCATCATCGGATGCTACTTCATGAACCGATCTCCAAACATCCTAAAAGTAAAATTAATCAGCTTTTGCAAAATACAAGAATAAAACTTTACAGTCTGACTGAAACAGAACCCAATGAGATGCCCTTGCAGAAGTATTTACCTTACCAAAGTAATCAGTAACAGTGTCAAAAAATGATCCCCCAACCTCGTCCTCCGGAGGTTGCAAAACATTGTGAAAAAATATGTTTATGGAATCAAAGTAGAACTGTGGACGGGGAGAGTTGTGGTCTCCCTCAAATTTAATTATGTTTTTATCCCCCTGCAAAGTACAGACCGATGTTACAATAATGATTCATTAACAAGACCCAAAAGAAATAAGGATAAAACAGAGGGAACATGAAGAGAAATACATACAATTGACTAAGCAACTTCGAATTTATAGAAGACAAATTTTATGAACTTAGCATCAAGCATACTTAAAATTATCTACAAGGTCTGGCCCGACAGGGCAGAAAGAAGTTTAGCTATGTAAATCAGTTAGTAATGAACAAATCTCAATTAGAATTCTTATTGTCGAACTTACCACATATGCCTCAAATATACGATCCGATCCGAGTGATGTGGCTGTATGAAATCATCATCAATGGCATGCCCTAGAAGGGCAGGAACGAAACAACTCTTAGCCACCTGCAATGGTAAGAAATAATGGATAACATTATAAAATGTTGATTTAAACACAAACAAGAGAAAACCAAAATGTACATAAATTCCCCCCCCCCCCAAATAACCGCTCAAAGTTTAATATTGGATCCAAAAGATCTATTTTATATAATTTCAATGTTTATGAACATGCATATATTTGAAAATATGCAATTCAAAGCAAATTTAGATTACAATTTAAAAAGGTGCTGCACGGAAGAAACAAGCACCCCCCTTCCTCCATGCCAAAAATTTTTAATTTCCTTGTACCTTTCAACAAGTTGAAATTTGTATCATGACAACAAAACTAGCTCGGCTAACTGTTCTTTTGGCTAGGAAAACTCCAACAACCTTTGAAAATTTAATCCTTTAAGCACGGGGTATATCAAAATGAAATAGCTGGTACATGAATGGCAGAAGACACTTCAGTAAATTATCAAGACCAGACTGAGGCCCAAGATTCTGTTATCTTTTCCATGATGCAACGGGATTATCCCTCTTTTGACTGGGGAAAAAAACAAATCATTAAGGTATTCTCCTGTCTTTGATTGACTGATCAAAATATATACCGAGGAACAATGTATTTGCCTTGAATGCTCAGTGAACTATTAATGGGGAAATGTGACAGAAGTTCATCAGTTTCCTATGTCAAACCAATCAAGCATACAGAGACAAACAATTAAAAGGAACTTCTTTGATTGGATAACCTTTATTGTGTTCAAGTTCGTTATGTCAAATTTTGCCTTCTTTTGGATTGCTTTTCGCATGTATTGGATTGCAAACTTTACCTGCATAAGGGAAGAAGAAAACTAATGTTGATTAGCATCACAAGTTAATCAAGCATGAAAAAGAGTACAAGCAGTTTTGCTTCATTGCTTATGCATAAAATTGATTTTATCAATAAATGGTCACTCCTAAGACAATAAAAATTTATACTTCTGAAAAACAATGAAACAGGGATAGTGTGAAATCAAGAGCTGGCCAGATATGTAAGTTGACCAACCAGTATACTGTAAACACTATCAAATAATGAAAACATCAAAATGTTTCTTCCTAAGAAGCACACAACAAAGTCTCAAGTGTGTGTCGATGTGCTATAGGATGTGTGGCTCCTGTCTAGTTTCTAGTGTGAATATCTAATTATGAAGCCTATGTCTTCCAATCGAACTTGATTCAAAATTATATAATCTCCATGTAAAGAAATATTAAAACATAAAATCATATTTAATTCGAAATTTTGGATAGTCATTCATGTGTGACCATATTTTCCGATTTTTATTTATTTATAGTTATATTTCTAAAATGAATATACCCACAGTGAACTTCGGCAGACGAATTCTGTATGTATCTACCAATTCCATCATTAAGTCAACCAAATCAGAGAAGGGACTGTCTAAGACCATCCCTGCAATTGAAGGATCCTCAGCTCCATACATAAGGCTGCACAAAAACAAATGTCAGCATAATGATCACCAAAGCAAGAAATAGAAACATGAAGTGCTACACAACATGAAGTAAATGCCCCAGTAATTTCAATCTTATTGCAAGCACAAAATAAGACAGAAAGTGAATTAGGAATACCTAGTCACAGCACCCATGGAACGACCCCATAAGCCAATCAAAGAGACATTTCCATCGGCCCGCAGATAATCAACCACAGCCCTGAGATCATCTTTCTGAAAACAATTAAAAAATGTTAGATAGCCATTTCAAAATGGAGAAACACAATAGAGCGAGTGGTGGCTATTCATATGCAAACTCTGAGCAAGATGATGATCCAAATGCAATAGCAGGGATAAATCAAGTATTTATAGTTTAACCGTGATATAAACAAGCTTAAAGAAACATAATGATACTTGTTAGACTCAGGCATACCTTAAGCCTCATACTTTCTATTTATATATGCAGTGCTATATTATCCATTTTAACATAATGAGCAACAAAAATTGAATGTAATTTCCTCTTTCAGGTTATTTCTTTATATTTTTGTATTCTCTCTTCTCATCAATAAATTATTTTCTATTTATAAAAACTGTGAAATTGTATCGCATAAAACCAAGCATTGAGAAACTGTCACCTCTTGTCCAATCTTACAGGACTAATGCTACTTATCCCACCTTCCTAAATCCCTCCCACTCCTTAAACAGGAAAAATCAACAAAGAACGGATAAAATTAAACATAAACAAGACTAAACATATGATATTTCTAAATAGTTATGGGGCAACCACATACTTCATGCCAACCAAGAGTGACATGCTCCCCTCCAGACAATCCCGATCCTGAGAAATCCAGAGTAAAAACTGTAATATTTGAAGGAAGCAAGATTATAGCAGCTTCACTTCCATCAGCCCTGCATCCACTGTCATATGATACAGGTGCCCAGTCAGCATAACCCAATCAAGTTAAGAAAATTCTATTCTAAACAATGACCAACCAACATATTTTAAAGAGATTAAAATCCATAAGTAATCGATTTTCATAGTACAAAAGAAGGTGGTATGGCATACTAAGTGCCAAGAAAGAGCCTACAGATATTATAATTGCAACTACCATATATTACATAATTGAGTAAATTACAACGACCTCACAAGCTTGAACCGACGAAAACACCCCTTATAGTTTTATACTGTAAAAATAGTCCACTCATAGTTGACTTTTCAGGGGTAATTGTATCTTAAGTTTTGCATAGAAGAACATGCGCTTCCCAAAAAAAAAAAAAAGGCAAAATCTAACAAAGGAGAGGTCATTGTAATTTATGCTTCATAGTCTTAGCATCAACGTAGAAATAAAATAGGAGTGAACAGAAAATTGAAAGCAGGAAAGCCTGATATGTGTGAAAGACTGAAAGGCAACTACACAGCGTCAATGGAACTGTTGAAAACACCAATTGCATGCTCAATGGCTACAAATAAGTCCGACAGTCACCTGTTTCCATGGCAATATATCACACATGGCAGAGGCTTTCCTTCTGGACTGATAATAGGCATGTAATGACTGCATTGAAGAACATCGTCTCGACTGTTTTTGATCTGGGAACATTTAATTTCACGTGAGAGACTGATTGCACAGCTCTTCAACTCTACAAGAAAAGATTTTACAGACAGAGTGAATTCTATTTTTGGAATCCTACCTCCACATCCTTTCTTTGATACCATTTCCCTCTCACCATGAACTCTTGCTCCAATAAATCACTCTTGGGGTCATATTCAGCTCTGCATCCCAGTGATGGATACAGACATTATTTCATAACGATTTACGTGAGAACTTGAAAAGAAAAATGGAGAAGTAATAGATGAGACAAGTTAAAAATAGCTGTACGAAAGAGGCTTGATATCCATAATTCTCCCTTTCATGACTTTTGTGACTGAGCATCTTATAATGTTATCTTAACTTAGCTTGTGCCTGTAGTAGCTTCTTCTTAATTCAATATAGTCAGCAAAACAAAGAAACTCCATTTCTTTCCTTTTTCTTTTCGGAGAAAAAATATTACTTTCCGTGGATATTCTCCTCAGAAGTAGGAAACTGCATATTCAATATGCCGCCAAAACGGAATTATACACCTAGATAGAATTGCCCAAACTAATAATTTTCAGTTAAGGCATAAGGATATGGGGTGGTAATGATTTGGGAGCATGTATATCTCACCTTTAGACCACAAAAGGCAATAATAAATTACTATATTCAGTTTAACAACCGCTGCTCTTTAGTTTCTTTCTTTGGAAGAAGAATATACAGTGCAATATTGCTATGCCTACATGCAAGTGCTTCGTATGTGGTTGCAGATGAGCAAATAACACATCACACAGGCATCATAATTGCCAGGAAAGCCCCAGAGAAAAATAATCTAGTACAAACATGAGATAAGCGTGTTTACTTAAGATCTTAGTTTTGCTTGATCCCCTGAAGAACGAGATCAGCACAAGAAACCATAATTGAGATGTCAAATGGTGAATATGAACCGCAAACAACAACATATCAGAAACCAAGAATTTCCTCATGGTAGTTTCAAACTAGATCTTGAATTTCCAACTCATGAACGATAAAACTAAAATATGAAACACGATGTGCCTGCAGGACAATGAAAAGTATAAAGATGTTTCTTCGTCTACTTTTTGGCTTCTTGTTCTTCCCGTCTAAAACAAGTTCACTGATTCACAACTACATGTAGCTAATTATACACAATCTGATTCCTCTTAGTTGTGTTGGGGCTCTACAGAGACTTAAAAAACAAAACTTTGAATTCCATCGTGTTCCAACTGAACAATACCAAGAATACCAAACATAAGCAAAACCACATAAAATGTTCAGTAAAAATTAGAAAGAAAAAAAAAAAGAAAGTAACAATTGACGAGAGCATGTGAGAATAGGAAGACGATTTGAGACCTTGGTGGGCGAATAATGAAGTTGATAAGCTGCTCCATAGATTCAATGAATCAAAATCAAATCTTTCAGCAAATATGCCCTCAACATATATATCACTTTCTATATTAGAGAGGAAAAGCAAGAAATAACCAGGAGAAAAAGAAAGAGAAAGGAAGAGCCAAGGATGGGCTTTGATGGGTAACGACGGTTTTCTGAGACAAAAGGAAGAAGTAAAGAGAAACAGAAACAGAACGACCAGACCGCTTTTGTTTTGTAGGTGTTTTTCCTTTTTCATTTGTTTATTATTTTCTCAAAATCAGCAAAAAAAAAATAATCAAAATAAAAATGAAATGACAGAGAAACGTACTGTTGCCAGTTGCCACCATGCCGATGTCTGGGTCCTCCTGGCTTCCTTGCAGCCTACCTGACTCTTCAGAAGGGCCAAAACTTTACAGAAAAAAGATAATTTATATTAAAATTTGATTGCAAAATTCAATATTTAGATAAGTTTTGTGATGTGTTTAGTTTGGAAAAGATTGAAAATTTCATCTGCATATCAAATGTAAGTTCGTTTCACAGATCAATTCTGATGATTCTACATTTGCCATTTCTTTTGTTAAATTAAATTATATATTTGTTATCCAAATCTTCATTGCAAAAAAAGAAAGAAAGAAAGAAAGAAAGAAATAAAAGAAAGAATCGACTGCCAATGTACTTTTCAAAGGGAATTTCTTCCCGTTTGTTGGGGAATAAACAGAGATAGGAATAATGTTATAGACAGAAAAATGAATGAGGAAAATAAAAGTATGACTAACTTGAAACGTACATAGGATAATATACAAGTGACTCTAATAAAAATAATATCAATACTAATTAACAGTTATAAAATATATATTTTTTAGGAGTGGATAGCATTATTTTTTTCTCATACGTTTCTGATCTGTCGGATTCCTCGGTTATGAATAGTATGGCTTTTTTAAACATGATATAACTTTTTCTGTTCTTTAAATCTTTTTCATTGTATATTTCTTTCAATATTTCTTCACATTATTCAATAAAATTTAAACGTTATACTACGTAGTAATACAATTTCTTGAAACAAGGCTTTCAAGATATGTATGACAAAAAAAGTATACAATAACATATTCTTATAAGACTTGTTATCAACTGAGTTAGTTTTACGGTGGTGTTGAAAATTAAAATATAATCTTAATTTTTGAGGAAAATTAAATTTTTTGGGAAAAATTAATTTGAAGATAATAATTACTGAAATATTTAACACTCCATTTTCTCCTTCTCTTATGTTAATCATGAGTAATTATGGTTTGGGATGGTAGTTTAGTATGAGTGACGTTTGGGGAATGATCATTGGGATTGCAATGGAATGCGGGACATCCGAATGCCTCTTTGCTTTGGGAAAGTTTGGGCCCTAGCCAGTGGATGAGGCAACTTCCTCTTATTATTTGGACATGTGATGTACGAGTAATTATGAGCATTGACCCGAAACAAAATTTTTGGTGCATTTTTATTTTATATTTTATAAATTATAATTGAAAATTTGATTTTAAGTCTAAATAAACCCTTAAGTTATGTATTTGCCTATGGCTTTAGTCAACTACATAAAAAGGTATTTAAATACAAATCAAACCATGGTTTTAGAAGTAATTTTAAGTGTACAAAGTAAATATGTTGAGCAATTTATCTCGATTTGTAGAAAAATACTTTTAAAAAGTATTTCTAGGCATATCTAAACACGGCCAAAGTTGAAAAAGAATGGTAAGAAAAGGTCCAACCTTAGCATTATATTTATGTATTTTTGTATGCAATCTTGTAATATGTTTTACAAACTAAATTTTGAAAATGACCTCTTAAATGTTTGAGAAAAGATTTATGAGATGTCTTTGCAGATTTAAATGATGTTTTGAGAAACAATTTGAGAAAATAAAAGGATTAGGTTATAATTATAAATTTTTTGAAATGTTTTCATAAAGATTTACAAGCATATAATTTAATGCCAACTTCTATTAGGATGTTAAATTTCATGTATAATGTCTTACTCCTTTCATTCCTTATTATAAGAGACATTTGATGCTCATGGCATGTTCTTATATATAAAAGACACTTAAAAGTTGTTTCTATTTTTTTGTGTTGATTTCCTATTTTACCCATATTTATTGTCTTCAACTCACACTCTCTCTCCTTTCCACTTCTCTTTCTTTTAATAATTTACCATTGCTCTCTCTCATTCTCTCTCTCCTTATTAATGAGGGCATTTTAGGGAAAAAATTATACTTTTACACATTGATTGTTCTTAACTAATTTTAACTTTTTTTTTATCAACGTAATTCGGTTATTATCTCTTATAATAAGAAACGAAGGGAGTACCATTTTTAAGTGAAAACTCATCTAGGAAGTAAGGGAGGACACTAAAAGAATGGTTTAATAGCTCTATTTTCTCTTGTTGGTGTTGCACATGCTTAATTATGATATTTTTATACTTTTTGTTGTTCGTGGCCTAAGATATTATTTCAAACTTATGTTCTTGTGAAACTTCATTTATGTTATTATGTCACTTTTGATGATTTTGAGACCTAAAGGATGACTGACTAAGTTGATGGACTCTGAGATGATAAACTAGGACTTTTTTTAGGCCAACTGTTAGACTAAGCCGGTTGTTTCTAATCGCATATTGACTTGAATGAATATGCAAATCTTTATTTGCCCGAGCTTATGAATTCCCAGTTGTAAATGTTGTGGGCTACCAATAGTTATTCCCACCATGTTTTTCTAACATGTCACAAAATATCTATCAAGGTACACATTTGGTACTCATCACTGTAATACAATATAGAGCATTTAAAATCTGATATGGATGGTTCAGTTTAAAATTTTTAATATACAATTTTTTCAGTAATAACTTTATTTTTTAAAGAAGTGTTGGTTATAACACTAACTTTATTTTAAATTATGTATCTATTAAAAAAATTAATTAAAATACATAAAAGATTTAAATTCAATTTGGACCATCCAAAACCAATCTAAATGATTCAAATTATGATGAGTACTCCATACTCTTAAGGAAAAATGAGTAGAATTTAATTTCTAAGACAACATAGGGGTGTCCAAAGTTTGTTTGATGGAAAGTTTCTTTTTATTGTTAATTTATTAAGATTTACTAGGCAGAGAGTGTTTTTCTTGGCCCTATTTATAAGTTATTTATTTTATTAAATTTTTAGTATGAGTGTACTATTTTGTTGTTCACTTGTTGTGTAGATAGTCATTTTCTCTAAAATATGTGTATATTAAATATGGGTAAGATTAAAAAGTTGTTATATTTTAATGGAGAGTTAATGCAGTTTAAATTTTTCTTAATCTATATGAAATATGCTAAAAACGTTTTATAAATAAGATTATAGTTAATTTTATCCATAAGAAAGCATAAATATTTCATGGCAGGGCATTTAATTAAGTGGGGATGAAGGGTAAAAATTAGGCAGTATAATGAGAATGATGGGACAACTTCCCCCCACCACCACTACATTGATGAATTTGACGTGTGAGTATTACCCACCACACTAACCTTGTTGTGTCAACGGCACATTATTGAACATCCATCCATCCGTTAAACCTTAATTTGCCGTGGTTAATATATAAAGTGAGACCGAGCATGTTAATCAATAATAATAATGTTTGAGAATAGTGACAATATTTTAAGAAAATTATTACTAAATTTCAAATTTGAGAAAGTATGTGTTCCATTTGGATTTGACTGAATAATTAATACATTTTTTTTAAATTTTGCTTTTAATAATTTATTCTCTCTCCTTTATCATAATCTTTCTTATCACATTTTTTGCACATCTTTTTCTAACATATTCATTACTTTCAACTAATTTTAATTAATTAATTATTATTCAAATTAATTAATTGAAGTTTATAATAAGACTGGAAGGAGCAATATTTTTTAATAAATAACTAATAGTCTAATCTCATTAATATAAATAATTAAAAAAACTCGATACATATTTATTATAAATAATTAATTGTATTAATTTTTTAATATTTTTAAATTAGTAATCAAAACCCTTTAAGTGGGGCGAAATTTTTTTTTTTTTAAAAAAGAATCTGTAAGGAAGGGGGGGGTGATGGATGATAACGAAGAGGATAGAGATTATGTGGGAGCAATGACAGGACAAACAAGGTGCGCACTAAGGCCTGCTTTGAAATTTCCGTTCCTTACATATATTCTCCGCACAATTATGGTTGTCAGCATATTCTTTTTAACCTCGTTATAGAGTACATCAATATTACAATTATAATTCTTTTAATTTAAGCTTACTAATAGTTATTATGAACAAATTAGGATAAATCTTACAAAATTTAGCCATAATTTCGGTTTTAAAATAAATTATGAATTTTTGAATCATTAAATTTAAATTTCTAAAGGCATTAAGTCCTATACTTTGCGATTGAAGTTAAGAGGTTTTATTTGAATGAATTGTAAGGATAGTGGCATGACCCCACATAGTGTGTGTATAATTGATCGATATGCATATAAATGTAAACGTATCAAACATGCAAATAAAAGCCAAACACGCAATAAACAAACGAAGCAGTCCAACAATCCCAAAAAAAAAACAAAAATCGAAGGATGTACTAAAGATGTTCCAGAGTCACCAACAAAGTTTGACATAGTTAGTAGATAATCGGATTCTTAATGGTTTGGATTTAAATTAAGAGGATATTTAGATGGAAATAAAACCATAATTTTAAAAGTGTTTTCACAGTATACGAAGTAAATATATAAAATAATTTGTCTTGATTTACGGAAAAATATTTTTTAAAAGTATTTCTTGTGTGGTCCAAACACCCATAAGTGGTGCATATGAAAAAAGTTTTGTTGAGAAACGCAAAACCCACTTCAATGATTTTTACCTCTTAAGAAGATTAATCTCTAATTACTAATTGAAATATGCTGCATTGGTCTGAAAAAAATTAGAAAAAGACATTCCAAGGCCATTGGTTCATATTATGAATTTAATTTCGTTTGGCACGCACATATTTTTCGATTATTTTTTATTCTTTTTAATTTAAACATTTACTTTGAAAAGAATTGTCAAATTACATCTAAGGACTCAAATGTTATAAATTTGAAGTTAAAAATACTAAAATTTATGAATACTTTTTGAGGATCAACTGTGTTGCCACTAAATTCACAGGACTTTT